ATTGATGTTCTTGATGAGATTGAGGACAATGTCCCTCGGACTGGTCGGCACCACTGTCTCGTCAGGCACGTTTCCCATCCGGTCCAAGCAGTTGACAATTACCGCGTCATCCTCCCTATCTAACTGTAATTCTTCGAGCTCTATAGTGTCCCATTTCTTTGCTATGGCGTTGAACTCAAACGGGACGTTGAATCTCTGGCAATACTTTTCGAGCCGAAGCCCGGTGGCATTGACCCGCTCCGCAGGGCGGAAACCGGGCTGGGGAAGGTCTATCCCAGTAATACGAAGTCTTGGGGGCCCACCAGGCATCGTCGAGAGAGCTTGGATCAGAGATGGCCATTGAAAACCATAAAAAATTCCAAAATCAATGATGTGCAGCCTGGTTGCTCCTCCACCCACAAGCTTGGCAATACATCTGTTGGCCATCATGCTTGTGACCATCTTAAAAGGGCTTGCTGTGAGATACATCTGGAAAGCTCTCAAGATGTCCGCCGCTGATACATTGCCCTGAGGAGACGTGTATATTGATGTCCCCCTGCCGTTCAAGCGTGCGTCAAGTGCATTTGCAAGATGGAAGGCCACCCTTTCCATGCCAGTGCCTTGAGGAGTAGCGTGCTGCCTGATCTTCTTCAGAGTTTCGCCGGCTGTCCCAATGTCATGGTCCACCATGGACTGTGCACATTGGATCAGCAAGCCTCTGAAATCCACAAACTCCTTTTTTCTTTCTTGTTTCTTCTTCTTCTTCTTTCCTCCTCGTCCTCCTCCTCCTCCTCCTCTCTGGGATTCCTCCCTCGGCTCTTCTTTCTTGTTTCTGCATTTGGTAAAGAGAAAGAAGTCATCGAATGTCTCAGGTTCGTCGGAGCAACTAGCCAAGTGCTTGCTGTTCCTCATCATCATCATCCCTGCAGAACCGTTATTGTAAGACGACAAAGAAAACAAATTGTGATCCCGTTTCCCGTTGGGAGGCGACTGATCCCTCCCCTTCTTTTCCTCACTGGCGTCCGGAAGACTCAAACCAAAGCAAGGTTCATCAGAAGAAGAAGAAGAAAAAGAGTTAGTCAGAGCACAGGTCCATGAGAAGCCGTCCTGCGGCGGACGCATGTTATCGGCTACAGTGCCGTCGAGTACAGCGGAGAAGTATTTCTCGGTGGCGTGGAGAGCCATGGCGTCTCTGAACATGCAACGCTGAGTCTCCAGCTCTTCTTCCTCCATCAGCATCTGGCTTATGTACTTGATTGTGGCATCTGGGAAGTCCCCCTGTTGTTCCTCTCCCTCTGTTTTCTTCATCTGGGCGTCAACACTATTGTTGGAGAATTTTTTGATCAGACCTTCCATTAGATAGATTATCACTGAATTGAATGGAAAACTGATTTATTCTAAAATAGTGTTAAGGAGAAAACAAGGGTATAGGGTAATGCTTTATCTCAAAAATCACGGTTTATGATGCCCCGACAAAGGGGGCGTTGTCGTCTATGGACCTTTTTTTTAACATTTGAATGCCTCAATTTATCTCTTTGACTTTTTAAAGTTAAGGTAGTGTTTGGTTAGGGCAAAATATTCTTTCGAAAATTTTCATTCTAATTTTCTGGGTTTGGTAACTTAAATGATTGGAACATATTTTCCTGAAAAAAATATTTTCCCTCCACAAGTGGAAAAATATTTTCCGTTTGATTTGGAAGGAAATTTTCCATTCACTCTCCGCCTTTGTCCACCATCGCCCTGCCATGCTTGCCCCCAACCCCGTCCCACCCTTGCCAATTTTTGACTCCAAAGTCAAAATCA